AAGGGGTCGGGGAATTTAGCACCATTTTCTTCTTGCCTAAAAACGCAAAGAAATCTTCCTGTTAAACAAGACCTGAGTAAAAGAGGTATGTGGGGTGAAGTGAATAATATCCTTCACAAACTTATAATAATCTAATCCTCCTGAATACTTTTCTGACTTAATTCCCAGAATCTGGCTAAGTTGAAAGAACAGCAAAAGAAGAAATTATTTTAAGCTAGGTCCAAAAATTTGATGGTACAGCTACTGCTTCGGAAGCAAGTGTAAATCCTTTCTAAAGGAAAATGCATTCTGGAACTAGAGACTTGGCACTTAGTAGAGCATCAGCCAGGCGTGAAGAAAAAATGCCTTCGCCACAGTCCTCCCAGTGCTTTCATCAACAAAGCTTCCAATACGTAAAAGGAATCTCAGCCCGGTGCGTGGAGTTGGTCTATGCTACATGTGGTATAATCAGACCCACCCCTGGATAATAAAATCCCAGAGCTTGCAAGTAAATACTTTCACATGATTTGAGAAGTGATATCATAAAAGTAATGCATGTAAACTGTCACATTAGCAGTACTAAAATAACTCTCCGAAATGAAAATGTCCATTCTCATAGACTTTTTTTGTAACATTGTGAATTTGAAAAAAGTTCACTAATATATTTCTAATCTGAAATAAAGGAAATAATCTAGCATGTAAGTCCCCTAAATCAAAGACATGAAGGTTTGAAACTTGAACATTGTAAAGAATGAAATAATAGGATATAAAATATAGAGAGTTCCATTTAAAAAAAGGAAGAAACAATGATAAATTCCCCCAAATAATGAAAGGCATTAACCCTCATATTAATCTTAGCTACTCTGGAGGCTGAAATCTGAGAATCATGGTTTGAAGCCTGGACAGACAAACCTGAGAAACTCATCCCCAATTAACCACTTAAAAAAAAAAAAGCTAGAAGTAGAGGTATGGCTCAAATGGTAAAGAAAAACAAAACCAAAACAAAAAACAAACATAAAAAAACCTTAGTTCAAGTGCCAGTAAATCACAAAGTAAACAAAGTATAATGATAAAAGACACGTCAATGGAAACTAAGAAGGATATGTAAAAAGAATTACAGATTTAGATAAATGCTGAAGAACTGTTACACCAAAGATTAAAAAGCTCTTTGGAACAGTTCTCTCCATTAACCTCAGATAACACATACTGTCTCCGTCCACCTTCCAAGAACAAAGGGTAACAGAAAACACAGAATGGTGCCATTCCTGTGATTTAACAATGATAATAGCCATGAACCTGATCATTTCACCAGGTGTTGAAATTAATTTCTACCAGGCATTATCCTTTGAAATGGGAAAAAAGGAAAGCAGAATTATAAATTCCTCCTCCTTGCCAAAGATTTCCTCAGATTAAGACCCCAAACCACACAGACCCATAACATATTAGAAATTGCCCAAATAGCATGCAAGTATAGAGTTACAGGTATAAGCCACAAGGCATATTCCATTCTGCAAAAGAACAGCTTTGTACCATCTAGAGTTCACAGATAGTACTAAGGCTTTGTTCTCTTCAAGTAACCTCTCCTAGTACATAGGTACGGTTGTGTCAGTACTCTCAAGATGTAGAGAAGTACTCATAATTGTTTAGCTCCTAACCATACAGGTATATATACCAAAGTAAAATGGAAACCTCGTCCCTACTTTTTGCAGGTGATAAATGATGGAATTTGAAGCATACTTTTCTGCTTTGATTGTCCAATGTCATAATGGGAAAAAAGACAACTTACCTAATAAATTATGTATTTAGATATTAATTCTAGGCACTTAGGGACAATTAATTTTTTTCTGGCCAATACAATTACAACTATACTTTTTTAAGAAAATTATTCTGAAAATGATGAACACTTTATAAAAGTATGAACCACTTTGTCATTGAAATGGGAATGCAAATCCAAAAGGTAATGTACAAAATCTATTGATGCGCTTTTGCTTTTCTGCCTTGTGACGCTTACAATGTAAATACACAAATATACCATATTAGTTCTCAGGCATGTTAAGGTCACTTTTTAAAAAAAAATGCAAATATCACTACCAATAGTCTTTGTCAATCCAGTTGACTGGTTAGATTTACTTTTCCTCTGACTCCTTCAATAAGGATGTATTAGAAAGAAAAGCTTTTTATTTTATATTTGAGTCACTTTGTTAGGTTTTTACCTAATGCGTATTTTCAAATTTTTCTAAGGATAAAAGCCAAACCAATCTCAGGATATAATTTCTGGATAAACATGCAAATTGATAGAAAAATAGAATAGAAAAATACATTAATTGATAGAGAAATATACTAACTGATAAACAAACATCAATGTTTTAATTTAATTAATAATTTTTAAGCAAGCCCATATCAATGCTGTTTAACAGAAAGGAAAAGGAAATTGAAGAACAGTTTTTCAAAAAGCAGACTTTTTTGTTCCATACAGAGTAGTTTCTTTAAAAGAAAGCTATGAAGAAATGTAACCTGGTATTCACAGTTTGATGAATCAGAAACCCTTCGCTTCCAATTGAGAGATACAATTGCCAACAACAGCCCGCACAAAGGAAACAGAGAAAAACTGACTGAGGAGGTACAATAGCATTGAGTGTAGCTTTGGAAACTAGAACTGTAATCCAGTTTGTAAGAAAATAAAGAATGGAAGTATTGGCCTAAAACTCCACTGACTCGCAGAAGCTTCACACAATACAACACAACTGACACCCTTTTCTCAAAGAGGCACCAGGCTCATTGAGTCAGGTGATTCAATTACCCTTTCAACCTAGAAAGAAACTCCTCTTGATCTGAGGCCCACTAGCAGAACAAGGTTGGATGGCCTCCAATGGACCCAGTCAGCACACGTCTAAAACAGGACAGACTTTGAAGGACAAGAACCACTGACCTTTTATGACTGCTACAGTGACCCTGGAACAAAACATTACTTAAAATGGATCCTTATATGCTGGGCAAAAAATTACACTTTCATTTCACTATATGTAGGGAAATCTGTTTAAATAAAGTCCGAAGCACAGTTCTCCATAAGGTGGTAGAAATATGAACAATTCAATCAATCAAATGGGAAGAGGTTTTCCTAAAAGAGAGGTGATTCTGGTGTTGCTTACATGTTTTACATACTTTGCCAGGAATATCATTATTGAGCTTTTTGTCACTTCTTCCTATAAATTTGTGTAGATCTTGAATAAACAGAATGTCCACCAATGAGAGTAAAAAGGTAACTATTGAACATGAGGATATCTAGAAAATTTTGGTGAGCATGAGCTCCTAGGGAGATCCACTGTTGTTTGCTCGTAAAACCAATAATAGTGAACGGTTGCGATAACATGAAGTTGCTGAACAAATTGCTTTCTTATTCATCTTCCAAACTATACAAATTCAATTCAATTCATCTGCTTTTAAGTTATAATACACACGCAAAGCAGTGGTGATTTCCTGCATTCTATAGGATGAAGTCTCAACTGTGAAACATGTAACGTAAATATCTTCACAAACTGATACCAATCGAATCATTGTGTCTCTTTCCTACCATTCTTTAATTTTAGTCAGGCTAGTGTACGCTAGAATTTTTTATTATATTTGTCCAAACAAATCATATATTTGCCCACATATACATTCCTGCTCTTTCAAATAATGTATAATTCCCTGTGTTACATGAGAAATGACACCACTCACATTGAATCCTAAGATAGCTTTGGAAACAAATCTCTTTTTACTATTGCCTATGACCTTCTTGAAGATAATCAATGCCATGTGGGGCAAATAGTAGGCAAATAACAAACAGTATCAACAATAAATAATAATAATCACTTCTATAGCATTTACAATATTAAGTAAACAGGAAAACTAATCATTCCATGTTTAGAATACATTTGTTCAGTATTTTCTACATTAATCATTCTCTTAGGCAGGGGTTACTCTCTTTACAGAACAGAACTGTGTAAGACAGATGCTACATCTTCATAAGTGAAAAAAAAAGTAAACAATTTCCCATAGGTTTATAAAAAGTAATATGTCTAAAACTTTGACTCAGGCTTTAACTCTTATTAAATTTTACCATTCAGAATAATATCATGCCTCTAAATCTAACCAGCAACTGAAACTTTTCAACAACCTAAAGCCACATAAATTTCCCTATATTTTTCCTCCTAAAATATTTGTTGCAAGAAATTGGTATATTAAGAAATCGTCTGAAAAAGTACTTGCCTGTGGATGGGTTTCACACATTTTAGGACATGAATTTCTAAAACTTATGAGGCAGAATTCTCCATAACCTATGGGAAATACTGTTTATTAAAGAAGACACTTGTCCAAAAGCTCCCAATGTTCTTTTCGCAAAGAAAATAAGTGCTATTAATTACTGCCAATTATTCAATCAACCAACCATTCTCTTAATGAATAAAAATTGGACTAAACCTCCCAGCCATTCAAAAAAATTAAGATAAAAATTCTGTTTATCCTATTGCAAAGCCTGTTCTCTATCTTTTTAAGCTGTAACTTTATCAGCTTAAATTTTCTTCAAATCTTAAGCAAATTAACTGAATTTCAGTAAAAAGTAAACCATTATCCCCTTCATGTACCAGTGTGCCAAATTTAAAACCAGTATTTTGAAACCAATATTTGAAAGTTGAAATATGTTTTGGTGATCAGTGACAATACCTATGTATGGCAAGCTTAAGCTGGGATGAATCTAGACAATGAATGGCTGATATAAAAAAGAAATAACTCTGATATAAACTATTTTAAAGACATTAAAGCTAATAAATATGCATTTTCACAATAACCATTCACAAGTTGGAAGTGCTTAATTTACAAAATGTGGCCCATTTTCAAATGCTTATAAAGGTTACCATTTTTAATGTTTTAACCAAATTCATGAAGAAAAGCTGTGTGCGTGCTTTAAGCAAAAATAATTTTAATTAGAGATCAAGGCCAATGCTGTCATTCACTCTAACTTGCAGAAATAAATTTAAATTTACCTTATTTGCAATACTTGTGATGAATGATTTCACATCTAGATTAGTAGGACAGCTCTTCTGACAAGGGGCATCTACACATTTCAGGCACCTAGGAAAGAACATTGCTGGGTTAAGATGACTAGAAAATAACTCATGCATTCACCTCTAGTTTTTTAAATCCATGCCCTTCAGAACTGAAGACCAATAAGCTTAAGTAAAATTATTGCCTTTTTAGATACAAATATTTAATTAATAAACACAAAGTCTCTATTTTGTTTTTTGCCCACAAAAACACAGTATTACAAATTGCCCATTTTTCTCAGAGTTCCTTCTAGATTTAAAAGAAAAAAAAATAAATATTCTCCAGCCACATCATTTAGGTGATTTCTTACTAGATCAATCTGATTTCTGTCTCTTACTCCATGGACAATGCTTATAGAATGATGTATTTTATGATCAAACTTCCATGTCTTGGGAAGAACCACAGTTATCATACAAATGCCAAAGTTAAAAAAAAATGTCTTATTTTGCCACTTACTGTACTTTATTCCTCTTTTCTTCCTTTCCTCCTTCCTTCCCTCCTCACATTTTTCTGATGTATTTCACACCATCATATATTAGCAAAGCTATTCGTTTCTATCCTACTGACCTCATAATATAGCTTCCATTCAGGAGCAAAGCACCATACTTCCCCAGTTGCTTTGCCTTCAGCTGAAGAGCAAGGGCTCTAGTAAGGTCATAACCCTTTCTAGTGGCAGGCCTCATCCAATCACATGACCCAGACTCACAGCCCCAGTTAAAGAATTTTTCTGCAGGAATCCTCTAAAATGTATGCAATAACTGCCCAGCCCCTGCCTTCATTCATCATGTGTTGTTAACTCACTTAAAAGTCTCTGCTTTCCAATCTCACCTCAGATCCTTCCAATGGAACTGAGCAGACATGCTTAAGTTTTCACCTAAGAACCAGAAAAAGCTTGAGAAATGTCAGATTCCCACTGAGGAGACCCCGAGGAGTCTCAGCATTTATTTTGGTAGGGGAGAGCTGTGAATATGCAACTGGGAAAAATAAAATAAGGCCTTTGAAGAGTTTGTGTTCTACTTGGGTAGAACCATATTGTGAGAATCACAGGCTACAATTACTCCTCGGAGACAACTGTCATTATATCTTTCAGGATACCCTCTACTGGTTCATTAGGCATGTATGGTTATTCATTTACTCGTGGATTCAATATTTAGAGATCTATTCTGCGAGAGTTCTCAGGGTGCCTGCCAAGTCTTCATGTGCTAGGAGCTTGGTCCTTGGGTGAAAGACTTGACTGAGGCGGAGTCTCGTGGAGATAATGAGGTCACTGAGGGCTCTGCTCTCAGAAAGAGTTGGACTCTTGTAAATTCAAGGCTGGACTCTTGTAAGTTCTTAAAAAGAACTAGTTTGAAAAAGTAAGGCTGGTTCTTTCCCGGCTTCCTCTCTAGTTTTCTTTCCTTTTCCCATTCTCTCCATTTATGATATCAGTACCAGAGACCCGTGCAGGTACCCCACTATGGGGACTTTCAATGATCTAAAACTGTGAGATAATAAACTTCAATTGTTTTTCATATCATTCTGATTGGCTAGAATAACAGAAAACAAGATACATCCTGCTATGTTGGCAGACTGAGGGATATGAGAATATGGAAATGATGGACACCATCATTCTGTTTCAGCTTTCATGGATCTTGAAGATTGGAAGAAGCAAAAGGCATACAAATGGAACTGTAGTGTTTGATATTCTTGATTAGTGAAATGCCAAGGGAGTACAGGGGAGGAAGTAAAAGCAGGTTAAAAGAATACTTAAATGGAAGCTTGTAGGATGACTGGATATTACAGAAGCAAAGGAAACTGGGTTTGGGAATGTAGCTACAGTACAGGAAAGGTCTCAAGAATAGAAACAGCAAGCTGGGCACTGGTGGTGGCTCATGCCTGTAATCCTAGCTACTTGGGTAGTTGAGAATGGGAGATTTGTAGTTTGCAGCCAACCCAGGCTGGATAAAATAGGGTGGTCCTAAGCTATGAGGCATACTGAGATTGGGTAGACCAGAGTTCAAGGAAAGCCCGGGCAGAAAAGCCCACGAGACTCCATCTCCACCAACCAAAGCTGAATGAAGTAGTATGCAACTGGACATTACAGGAAACCTGTAGTACATGGATCACACATCAGCCACATGCCGAACTTTGGAAGAAAGGCACTGGCCTAAAAATAACCATACAAAAAATGGGGCTGGAGAGGTGGCTCGTTATAGAGCACAAGCCCAGCAAGCAGAAGGTACTGAGTTCAAGCCCCAGGGTCACAAAGATAACAACAGAAATAGCAGAACTTATAAAGAAAGAAACATGTCAGAGTAGTAGGTAAATCAATGAAATTCTAACTTATTAAGGTATGTGGAGAGTCACAGCATAAGAAATCATATGACTGTCATGTGTGTTTGCAGGCCAGAGTTCTCCAGGAGTATCACTGAAAATGAATTGGACATGACTCAGCAACAAAGGTCATTAGCATGCTCATTTTCTATTCACTTCCTTTCATAAAGATGTTGGCTCATTTCCTTCAAAAAAACAATAGCAGTCCCATTGTCATTTTTTTCTGGCCTCCTCTTCATTGTCTGAACCAATTCCTCAGAACCTAATTAATATCATGTTTTCAGATCTGATCTCTTTTCTCTGGTCTGTGCCCTTAACCTTCTCTTTAAATTAAATTTTACACAATGAGTACTGAAGGCTTTTCATAATCAATTGTCCACTCTGAAATGTAGTCATTAAACCTCTCCCCTATCATTTCTCTAAATGCCATTGTTAGAGTCACATCTATCATTTAATTGAATTCCTATCTACTCATACATATTTGTTTTTTGTCAAACACCGTTACTGAGCTTTAAACTTTTTCCTAGAAAATAGGATCTGCAATGTATACTACAGAAAGAATCCAAAGCATTGCTTAGTTGATTTTTGATGGAGAAATCAGGGAATACTTTATGTCATTGCCATATGGATTATTATATACAATATTAACACTGGTTTAAGAAGAGTTCCTGTTATGTGTCATATGAAAATACAGTGAATCATATTGTGCTGTCTTAAATATTTTGTCATCTATTAAGTTATTTGAACAACTCAAAAGAAAGGCATATATATTGTATAGCATATATATACATATGCACATATACACATAAATATATGTATTTATGCATATAGATATATACTCATACACATATGCTTAATGCACACATACAGATAAAGAGAGAGGTGTTGCATCATAAAAATTCTGATTACCATTAATGAAGTCACAAGTCTGCCTTTCTTTTTTTTAACACCCACTTGAATAATAAGGCAATTAAATGAAAACTTACAATGTCAGCAGGTATGAATGCACAATATTAATATGCAGTGTATTTTCTCTGTTCTTCCAGAGAAAATTTGAAATTCAACATAAACAGATTCACTTAACAGCACAGACAATGTAAGGATTTCTAGTTGTGGTTATTAGGCCTCTTTACCAAATAATTCTCCTTTTATTATTGAGCTAGTTCACAAATAACAGCTGTTGGAAATGTCAGATGTTAATGAGGCAGGGCAATGCAAACCTGAATTGTAGCATTCTTTTTTTTTTCCTTTGGTGCCATGAATATGCCAGAATGGGCAGACTCTGATAATAATACCATCTTGCAATTCTCTAAGCACTCTGCAGACTAAAGTGCATCAGGCTGCCATTAATCCCACTTATCACTCTGACAGCTCAGTAATTACACTACTGCTATAGCCAGGTAGTCCTAATAAAATACCAACCACTGCACTGGAATGCATACTGGTGAGATGTTTTATTAAACTTGGGGGGGGGTTGATCATCAAGTGACATTATTGTTGACCTATTTTTCTATTTGACAATAAATTATCCTTTGACCACGCCATAATAGATATTACAGAGTGCATTTACTGTACCAAATCAGAAAGGTACAGCATTACAAGGATGTAGGCAAACGGTGCAAATAAAATAGCAAAAATGCATGTCTGAATGTTATTACCTAAATTGCTTTAAATGATTGATACTGTGAAAAATCACAGACACAGTACTTAGGGGAATATGTCAACAATTATTGTAAACCACAGATCTACATAAATTTTCCCTTAGATGTAACGCTTAAATTACACTTGTTTTTATCTTCTCTCATTTTGTTCCCTTTTACCTTTCAAAGTTGTCCTGTTACAAAGCAGTTTAGTTTCCCATACATCATAAGGAGCAAAAGTGGATTCCAATAAATAATTGTTTAGCATTTTTAATCCCCAGGTAATTACATTTACAGAAAGAGGAGTATATTATATTAGATTATTTTTAAAGCATTGGCAAACTCTTTTCATTTTAACATTCAAAAGAGAGCATAACAATAGAATTCATTAAAAACACATTGTTAATCTTTCATGATTCAACATCGACTATAAAGATGTGTGAGACCTTTAGCACTACTACTTAAGAACAAGAGGTAAAAGATATATTTACCCACAATCTTCCTCTAGGAAAAGTGGCACACGTCAAATGAGACTGGACAGCTTTACTTCTATTATAACCCCAGAAAGTGTGTTAAGTAATGAAATCGCCATTTTATTCCTCCTATATCTAAGAACAGATGCCTGCTTCTTCTATTGATAAGCAAACCCAGCAGCTGGAACTGTAATCTATGCTTGTTATTTTCTACTTCATGAGTTTAAATGACTTAATTCCTCATAACACACACAAACATACACACACACACACGTACACACACACACACACACACGTACTTAAAAATAAACTTTATATTTATTTTTCATTATCTTGGTTTTATTAGAATCCATATTTTTTCAACAGACTATAAATAACCTATATTGGCTGTTTCTATTTTAGAATTTGGTGAGTCCATTTTTACATTAAAAGTTAAAATAAGTTAGGCATTATTGGTTAACACCTGTGATCCTAGCTACTTAGGAGGCTGAGAGCTGAGGATCTCTGCTCAAAGTGAGCCTGGGTAGGAAAGTCCATGAGACTCTGACCTTCAGATGACCATCAGAAATCTGGAAGTGGCATTCCAGCTCAAAGTGGTAGA